GGCACTTTAGAACTGTGCTTAGTACATAGTAAGCGCTATAAAGTGTTTGCTTAATGAAGTAAAGAATCTCTAAATTACAGTCTGCACTGGAAGGAAGACTTAAAGTGCAATTTTAAATAGCTTTGGTTAGGAATTTCTGTGAGTGTGCTATAACCCACAGGTCTAAAAAGGTTAGTATTAAAGTTATGTGGAAGAAATTCCAGATTCAGGAGAGAGCGAAGGACCAGACAGTCCTGTAGTTCGAAAGCATCTTCGTGTAAATTCCATATCATCTTTCTGAGGCACCTTGAAAACGTCAACTATCACTGGTCTCGTTTAAGGGGCTGGGGTCTTTTCGGAGCTGACAGAATCCACATCTACTCTAGGAAACATGGAGCTCCTCTCTCCATCCATGCCTCCGTCCCAGGTGGGAGCCAGCAAAGAGCCCTTCTCACTTATACATGTTACTGCCACTTCTGTTGCTTGTTCTATCTCTCCTCCCATTCAGGAGCACTGAGGGACAAACAGACCCAAAGGAGAGAACTTGGTTACGTCTGTACTGATATTTAGATTTGGTATAGTTACTCAGGGCTAAATAAATAATGAAATTATTATTCTTGTGTAAAACATTCTTTCCATTCTGATCTTAGAATCAGAGCTAGTGGAATTTCAGGCTAAACTGATTAGATTACCCCTAGAACATTTCACAAAGGGCTATCTCTCTATTGAGATATATTTCTTAAAATGGTTTTATAGACATCCTTGGTAACTCTTTCCAGTACTTAACACTTTGCTACCAGGAAACTGGTGACAGAATTATAATGTTACCCTGTTTTATTCTGCCATTCCTTTGCAGTTTGGCAGCTTTATGAAGCACTTAATTAAGCAGCTTAGTGCCTTCAGTCTGACACCTGAAAGGTGGCCTCCAGCTTAACAGTTCTTGGCTTGATGTTACAGATGTAACCATGAGCCTATCAATGAATGACAAAGAGCTTTTTAAAAAAAAAAAAAATGTTCAGTCTGACACCTGAAAGGTGGCCTTCAGCTTAACAATTCTTGGCTTGATGTTACAGATGTAACCACGAGCCTATCAATGAATGACAAAGAGCTTTTTTTAAAAAAAAAAATTTGGGATTTAGTTACGTCATTAAATAAATATTTTATGTTGATGTATTGAGACTGAAAAATCAAGATAGTCAAGAGATTTTCATAACAAATGTACATATAGTAGATTTTCAGAAAACTCTACTTATTTCAAGAATATTTGCTGAGTTGAACTGGAAAGAAAACTAATTTAAGAAAAAAAAGAAAAGAAGGGGTACGATGTGGTTGTCTGAGTCAAATCAAGCAGACATGATTAAGAATTGTAGAACCCAGAAGTATGCTCATCAGGAGATGGGCTGAGGGCTCATTGTAGCCTTATCGAATAACCATTATGGAAATATGCATATTTCCCAATGAACTGTTTTCTGCATTTATCCAATATGTATTTACTGTATATTTCATTATGAATCAGACAGGGAAATAGGAACTTGAGATAGTAGACCCTCACCAAGCTGGTAGGCCATTATTTGCACTAATTTTCTTAAACACTTTGGTTTCAAATCTGTCCTTATTACATTTTCAGCTTTTGATTAGGTACATGCATTGTGATGAATGTTTCAAAATATTAATGTGAAGAAGTATGGGCATTTATTGACTACATACATTGTCTAAGTTGCCTGGGTCATTCTAAGGTCAAGGGGACCCGTGAGCTCCTTAAACTACTATTTGTTCTCTTCAGACTAAGATGCTGCTAATAAATGAACCATGCAGCAGAGGTTATACTGACAAACTTCCTGGAAGGTTTTTCAGTTTATAGAAAAAAATATGGTGGCATCAAACACAGGACTTTAGAGTTTTAAATCTGTAAAATTTCTATATTTTCCATGTAGAAATTATGTCATTAAATATACTAATAGTGGTTCAGGCAAATATACTAATAGTGGTTCAGGCAAAATCTTAACGTGGAGTTTGAAACTGTTGAAAACTGGTCAGTGGGAGAATAGTAGGATATTTTCTTGAATTCTAATGGTCTAATTCATGCACAAATCTTTTATTACACTATGTAGTTTTAAGTAAGTGCATTTATTTGAAAGAAAATGAAAAAAAAAATCATGGGGAGTTATTGTTCCAGGAAAAAATGCTTTCCTAGGGGTATTATAACATGTTGAGTTGGGAAACATTTACTATTTAAGTCTTATAATTTCCCTTGTGTAAATTGTTCCAATTTCTATAATGATAGGGATGGCCAAATCATATTTTATTTTATGGTTCTCTGTTGGCATATTGGTTCTAGATAAATGGCTCAAAATTAGCCCGGTCTGGTTACTTTGTGGAAAGGTTCATTAAAGTAGATGAAATGTCCCAGAAATACCCTCTGATTACTGATGTTTTTTGAAATAAATAAACCCAGTTTAAAATAATATTGAGTTTCAGACGTACTCACTTTATGGCAATATTAGTTTTCAGACATATTCATTGTGTAGAATTCTGTGCTGAGTAAAAGTGAAAAATATCAACACATTGTTTGTTACATTGACTTTCTAATTTTTGCTATACTGAAGCATGACTTTCTCATATTTTTTCCATTATAGACAAATGAGTCCATACTCTGTTCATGATTCTCTTTATGGATAAGGTTCCATTTAGTTGAATGGTTTTGGTCCAATGGTCATTTATTCATTCATGTATTTCAAATCATATAACTAAAAATGTGGGGGTTGTACTAAATGTGTGATCATTTCTCCTCTAGTTACCTTTATTTTGAACTTGTTCTCAACAGATATGATTTTATTTTTAAAAGAAACTAAAATTCAGTACAGAAATATATATTTCCCCCAAAAGTACACACCTAGGAGTTGAGGAATAATTACAGCATGCCTAGGATGCACAATTAATTGGACTATAAAATGTAAATTTCATTTTATTTAGAAAATAAATAATAAGCATAAAATGAGGAAAATATGAAAAATAATCTATAACTCTAAGACTCAAATTTACTCTTAATGCCATACAACCTAATTGGAATTCACAATGTATTGGAATTGTTGGCTGGTTTACCTTTCAAAAGAACACCATTTGAATAATGATCAGGCTGAAGGAATAGACACAGGGCAAATAAGTCCAGCCAGATACACAGACATGTTCTACACTATTTTGAAATCACTGCCGTGTTCAAATTCTCATATGGCCATCTTGGGCTGTCTACAGTTAGAATTATTGACAAGAAAAGTGGATCAACTCAGAAAAGTTGCCTGGTGGGTCAGCTGTTCCCTCAAGTAACTGGATAAGTTTCATCTGCTGAAGACCTACAGCCAGAACTCTTGATAAATTATCACTGCAATTTACCTGCCTCTTCATCTGTGTCCCACATTTAAACTCATCATAATAGTCCCACTGATTCCATCTCAAAGTCCCAGTCTTCTACATCTGCTTTTTAAAATCTGTTTTTATTTAATCAGGAGTCTGCTTTTCCGCAAATATAGTTTCCTTGTGCTGGCTCTTTTTCCCACAGGTAAGGTTTTTTTAATAATGCGAATCATTCATGGATTATAACTGGAAGAAATGCAGCATTCAAATCCCAACTATTTGAGGGAGATAGAAACAAAAACGCTTAAAAACAAACTTGCTATTCGGGGAAGCTTGATAATTCTGAGATTTTCCAGTGTTTCCATTTAAGTTTTTTTTTAGCACCAGCACTATGAAAGATCCATCAACTTTTAACAACTTTTAACAACTCTGTTTATTTGAACAAGGTGAAAAGAAAAAAAAAATAACGATTTAGTCTAGCTTTCAGGAAGCAAAATTCTTCTTTGACAGCACAAGTAAAAGTATTAACAAGAACCCTTTTCTGATGTTCTTAGAAGACATACTGACTTTGGAGCATTCATCCAAATGTTTTAACAAAAGGGCTTTTTGAAGTTAGTAGGATTTTTAATATGGTGAAATATTTAAAGGGAATTTCCCAGATTTATTATGTATATTGTATGTAATGCTGCTAATTCTCATATTTACTTTGTAATGGGGCAAATGTATGGTAGTAAGGATAAGTAAATGGGAGAAACATGATATTATGTACCTGTCTAAATTTTATAATCATATTAAATATGAGTTGGCAAATATCAGAATTTTTGCAGATAACTTGGCTCAGGAAAAAATGTAATATAACGCTTCTACTTTTCCCTAATGTTTTTTTGGTGGGGAAGAATAAGTACAGGTAAATAGTAATCGGTGCTATGGTCTGAGTAGACAGCAAGGCCAGGAAAGAAAGAAAGGATAAATGGATATTTTAAGGCAAAAGCTGGTGCTTGGGTCTTGAAGGTTCAAGTGATGGAAAGGGATATTTTCTTCCATTGGATTTTAGGGGGAAGAATATAAAAACATAACTTGGCATAGCTATTATTTGCTCTTACTGAGAATTTCCCTCTCGCACCAGTAAAGAGAGGAAAATTTGTCCCACGTAGTTAACAGTCTGTTACAGCTCTTACTGAAAGGCAGTATTTTTATTTTTAATGGACCCTGCTGTTATCGTTCTCTCAAGCTTGAAGTTTAGTCCTTAGCTCTGCAGCCTTGCTGTGAATAAATCATCTACTCTCTTAGCATGTGTCAGAAGGTTTTGAAGCTCAGGTAATAGGAAGATGTTATTTTCCTTCTTTCTCATCCTATTGATGGTAGCAAAAGACCATGACATTTCCATAAGGCAAGTTTGCCAAGGGAGATTTTGCAGATTTCCTAGATGTGACATACTGCAGAGCATGCTATTTTGAAAGATTGTTCTATGGGGCTTCTTGACTACAGATGGATTTGGTTCACTCAGCAAGTATTGAGTACCTGCTCTGTGTTGGACATCATTCTAGGTGCATCTTCAATGTTCTATTTTTAAGTTGAAGGAAAGTGATGTCTTTTATTCTGGCAAGTGCATTTAACTCTCTATTTGAAGTTAATTCATGTTGTATCTCCTCTGTTTTGACATGGTGAAGACTTAGGAGGATACTGACAGAACCAAAAAAGATTGGTGGTTGGTCATTTGGACACTGATGATGTGAGTATTTAGGCATTCGGCCAGTGGTGGTACCCTCTTCACAGGCACCAAAATTAATGACATTGTGACTGCTGATCCTTTACTCTCATTTGTCATTACCAACGTTTTTGCTTTAATACATCATTCTCTTCTTTCAGTTTGTATTGACAGTCTCCATGTCACGCCCTTATTTCACTGTTAGATTACTGCAGTAGCCTCCAACTTTCTAAGTGATACTCTAGATTAATCTTTTAAATGCATTACTCTCAGTCCATCTCATGTCAGCTGAAAAAACTTAAAGAATACCTCTTCAAATAATCTTAAAGCACTTGGCATCACCTTTATTAATGCACACAGGACTATAGAATAACTTAATTGGCATCCTCTGCTTGAGCAGGTAATTGTACACTTGCAGAAATTGAGGTCAAGAAGCTTAAGTGACTGGTTCAAATTTATTAGTTGTTCAGAAGAAACATTTGAACTAAAGTCAGGATCTCCTAAACTTCAGGTCTGTGTACTCCCTCTTGTCAGATAATGTTTTCCATTAATTTTTTTTTTCTCTTACTGTGTTTAGAGGTTGTCTTACTGTGTTTAGAGGTTGTATTCTAAGCCTCTGTGTTTTCCCACCTCGTAGTGGAGAATACAAAGCCCCCTCTTCGTGAGTGGCAAGTGGTGGGAGAATGCGTGACAGTGGAGGAAGGAGAACTAAGTCATCCCCTGAGAGGGATCTGTGTTTCTGAAACATCACTGGAAGAGGGTTCTGTACTGAATGTTTGTGTACCCTTCCCCTTACCCCAGTTCATATGTTGATGCTGTAATGCCCAGTGTGATGATACTTGGAGATACTTGGAGATGGGGTCTTTGGGAGAATAATGTTTATTTGTGGGCATGAAGGTAGGACCCTCATCATGGACTTGAAGAGACACCAGAGAGCTTGCTTCTTCTCTCTCTGCCATGGGAGGACACAGTGAGAAGGCAGCTGTGTGCAGGCCAGGAGAGAGAAGGCTATCCCCAGGAACTGAATTTGCTGACATCTTGATGCTAAACTTGTCATATCTGTTGGTTAAGCCAACCAGTCTGTGGTATTTTGTCCATATCTGTTGGTTAAGCCAACCAGTCTGTGGCATTTTGTTGTAGCAGCCTGAACTGACTAATAATACAAAAGAGTTTCTGTCAAGGTCCTTGTGTTTGTAGCAGCCTGAACTGACTAATACAAAAGAGTTTCTGTCAAGGTCCTTGTGTTACTTTCCTAGGGCTGCTATAAAAATTACCACAAACTTGGTGGTATAAAACAACAGGAAGTCTAATTCTTTCTCTACTCTTCAATAGAGATAAACCTGGGATGGCAGGATTGTGGAAGGAGGGAAGAAGGCGTATGTTAAGATGTTAATGATTATTGCCCAAATACCTAATTGAAGACTAAATAGGAATTATTTGACAGCTATCTAAGAGTAAGAATGGGCCAGAACTAGCCCTGGAGTGGCTAGGGACACTGAAAGTAGAGAGAACCTACCCTCTTCACTAGTATTCTTGGTTTTGGCTCCTGTCAGGATACAGTGGGTCTGATTGTTTAGCTGAGGCAACTGGCTGAGACCAGCTGAGGATAAAGGGGTGGGGCTGGCTCATGACAAAGGGATTCCCCAGCTGGAGCTGCTCTCAGCTGGAGGTGGTGTGGGGTCTCAGCCGCTATGAACAACTGGGTGGCCAGCCATTTGGTTGTGGCATGCACTAGACTGAGAGGGATGTTATTTACTGGAGCCAGTTCCAGCTGGTAGTTATACGGGATGGAGGCCATCCTGCGGAGATGGTAGGAGGTGGGGTGGGAAAAGTGCGGGTTAGGAATAGCGCTGAGCTTGGGTGACAAAAGGATGCCAGTGTGTGGAGGCATGAACACAGTCAGGAATGAAGAGCAACCAAGTGTCGAAATGTGTGGAATTTTTGGCTATGCATCTAGTTCTACTCCATAAAGACACAGCTGGCTTGGGTAGGTACAGCATCTGACACTTCTAACCTTGTCCCCTGGGTCATCTTTGGTAGATATGCTCTAGCTTCTTGTCTCTCCTTACTAATTATATTGGTAGGGGAGTCAGAAGGTCTAGGGTTTAAAGCAGGAATTGCCCTTTACCCCTTATGTAACCTTAATATTTTTAAGTCACGAAACGTAAATGTTTTTACATTTCATCTCTCTCTGTCATGCATAGGCTATGCGGATCAATAAAAGTGTACAAATGGCTTTCCTGGAAAGAATTTCTGTGCAATATCAACATGCCTTGAAAAGGAGTTGAAAGGGCACAGAATATCTGCTTTTCAAAGCATGAAAACTAGTAATTAGCTATGGTAAAAGAGAAAGCAGGAGACAGAGAATTTTTCCCCACTATGAGAATAACTTTGACCACTCTACAGTCTTTAATATGTATTTTTTCACTATGCTGAAATTATTGGCTGGAGATTCTGATATGACAATGTTTTTTTTTTTTGTTTTGTTTTTTTGTTTTTGTTTTTTGTTTTTTTTTTTTTGCTGCATTTCCGCCTAAAACTATCTCCCTTTTATTTTTTTTCCCCCCAATTAACTTAGTTGCCAATGAAGAAATTCAAAACCTAAATGCTTACAATGTATTTTGGAAATCTTTCTTACCATGATAATAAAGACAAGGCTTTGTTTGTTTGCCTAGGGACAGCTAGTGTTCTTTTCTTCCTTTGATTCTGAATTTTATACTCTGATAGATAGAACTGTGGGCACAACAATGAGAGAGAAAAAGTAAGGCCAGGCACAAATCCTGAGTTTTGATAAAGTCTATAAGACTTAGAAGTTGAGGTGAAATAAAGTTTCTAAACTGGTTTATTTAGGTCTATACAAGTAAGAAAACATAAAAATGGAATATAATGGAATTTCTTGATTTGAGAACAAATCTGAGGTTCTTCTCAAGGGGGAACATTTTGTTCCTTTGTTTCCTTGCCTAACTGAGAAGACACAGTTCTGAAGATGGTCAGTCTATAGATGGCTCTTTTCTGGAACTGGCAGAGTAGGTCTCTGCATGGTGGGGGCAGGAGGGTGTGAATAGAGGCCAGATTCACTGAATCATTTCTTACCTCATTCTTTGATAACATCATGAAGCATTTTGCCAATCTTTGGAAGTCCAATCTTTGGAAGTCCAATCTTTGGAAAAGTCCATGCAGAGTTGTAATAATGCCATGGGACTTGACTTGGCTAACCCATAGAAGGTAATGGAATTATACATTCTTTGGAGACGTACTTTCTACACCGCCCATCACTCATTGACCAGGAAATTTTATGTTATTAAATAGAATACTTAACAAGGCCGAACTATATGCATTTGCATTACTTGCTTGTGTCTGGACCAACCTCAAAAGCAGTGAATATATCTTGTGACTTATATTTGCTCGACCAAGTCCGCACACCAGAGTAATATTTTCCAGAGACAAAAAGACTGTACCCACAAGAAAGTTTCTGCTTATATTCTTAGAGTTAAAGGGAAAAAAACTTCTCACAATTTTTAAAGTAGCCATGTTGTTCATAATTTCTGCCATATCAGATTCAGAAGTACTGAGTTTTAGACTTGAGGCACAATGAAAAATATAAGATTTAACAGTAAACATTTATGTATCTTCTGAAAATTTTATCAAATAAAATCTTAAATATCAGACAGCCTGGTTCAATACTGGTTACTTGGCTAGCTTAACCTTGACATATTAAACACAATAGAAAATTTTAATGCTGCAAAATATAAACGATGACATTTTGCTAAATGGCTAGTAACAAGGGAAGAATGGTGGAAGAAAAACAATTGGTAGAGTCTTATGAGAACATTTTTTTCCCCTCATCAAGAACCCTTCTGGCTGTGGTCTTATTTTTATAGAATTGGTGAGTATCTGTACTTTATAATGATCTTCTCAGAGATGGAAGTAAATGAGTGTTTTTCTACTTCACAGTTCTCTTTTATTGCTGTTTTTTTATAATGCAAACAGCTTTCTAAAATATGATATAATTTATTTCTTTATGAGTTTTTGTTTGTTTATTGGTGTATAGTTTGCTAGGGCTGCCATAACAAAATACCACAGACTGAGGGTCTTAAACAACAGAAATTTATTGTCTCATAGTTCTGGAGGCTAAGGTTTTGACAGGGTTGGTTTGTAGATGGCTGTCCACTTCCTTAGTCTTCACATGGTCTTTCCTCAGAGCATGCATATCTGTGTCCAAATTTCCTCTTCTTAATGAGAGCACCGGTCATACTGGATTAGGATTCACCCTAAAGACCTCATTTTAACTTAATTACCTCTTTAAAGGCCTTATCTTGAAATACAGTTACATCCAGAGGTACTGGAGATCAGAACTTCAACTTTCAAATGCTGGAAAACACAATTCAGCCCATAACAGTTCGTTTGTTTCCAGCCACTATAATAGTTTCTGTGAGGTTAGGGAATTTTGTTTCTTTTGTTCACTTATGTATCCTATGCACCTGTATCAGTGCCTGGGCAATAATAGGTACTAAATGAATATTTGCTGAATGAATAAATGAATCAGTCAATGAACGAAACAAATAAGTTGTATGACAAATATTTAAACCTCAGAGTTCTCTACATATAACATGCCACTTTTGCTACCAAAGCTCATTTGTACTTGAATTAGTAAGATCTGAATAGTGTTAGTTATGCTTATTTTGGCATATAGGCCTATCAGGAACATTCGTGGGTAAAGTCTGTAATTAGAAATAAGTACCACATAAAATGCATTAATAATTTCAAAGTGAAAAAATAAAATGCACATCAACTGTGGAGGAGAAACAGGGAACAGTAAGGGTCCTTTCAAGCCAATAAAACTTTAAGGGCAAAGACTTGTAATTAAAACTGAAGTGAATTTAATCTTTCCTGCTAATCACTCCTGCAGCGTTAGCCTGTTTTCATTAAACTAATCGATGGCAGATGGAGCAGATGCGTGGTGAGATTACAGCTCCACTTTATGGCAGGGTTATAACAAATGTGACTTTCCCTGTATTTTATGC